ATAGAGGCTCCTTAAAGGTAAAGGGACCCCTGACCATTAGGTCCAGTCGTGGCCGACTCTGGGGTTGGGTGCTCATCTCGCTTTACTGGCCAAGGGAGCCGGCATACAGCTTCAGGGTCATGTGGCCAGCATGACTAAGCCGCTTCTGGCGAACCAGAGCAGCGCACGGAAACGCCATTTACCTTCCTGCTGGAGTGGTACCTATTTATCTTCTTGCACTTTGACGTGCTTTCGAACTGCTAGGTTGGCAGGAGCAGGGACCAAGCAATGGGAGCTCACCCCATCATGGGGATTTGAACCGCCGACCTTCGGATCGGCAAGTCCTAGGCTCTGTGGTTTAACCCACAGCATGTTTAAAACCAAAATCGCATTTGGGTAGAAACTGTTTCTCAGGAGGCTAGTCCTAGGCTTTATAACCTTGTACCTTCTTCCAGAAGGCAGAAGCTGAAAAAGATCATTTCCGGGGTGCACACTATCCTGCACTATCTCTGCAGCTTTCTTATTGCACCTGGAAACATAGATTTGATCCAAGGTGGGAAGAGTGCACCCAATTATTCACTCCTCAGTCTTTACAACCCTGGACAGCATTGTTTTTTCCCTGACCGTGCAGCTCCCAAATCACACACAGAGACCATAATGCACATTTCCTCCCACCCCAATCCTGTGAAATGTAGTTGTCCCCTCACAGAGCTACACTTCCCAGCACCCAAAACCAAGTATAGTTCACAGGTGTCTTATGGGGAAGTCATGTGCTTTTAGTGCACTTAAATCTCAGGGTTGTGGGTTCAAGACCCACATTGAGCAAAGGTTTCCTATATTGCAGGGGGTTGGAATAGATGACCCTTGTGGCCCTTTCCTATTCTACAATTCTACATGAATCTAAATGTATGGTGTGGATGTCATCATTCAGAGTGGGAAGAGGGGGGAATCGCCATAAAATACTGGTTGATGCCAAACAGTTTTTTTAAAAAAAGGTAAATCACTAGGCAGAGAGATAAATACAGAACTATGTTTCTATTCAAATGCTCATCAACAGACCCAAGCGCTCTTCAACAGTTCCTAAATTGCAGAACTTACTGGCCACCATCCCAGAAGCTTGGAAAAGGTTTATGTCTTGCTCAGCAGTTGGGTACAAGGCTGCCTGCAGCACATTTCTCCCTGTGTCTCTCAGAGAGAGAGAGAGAGAAGACCTGTGTAGGCGTGTGGCCAAAGTTAAGCCCTGCTGAGCCCTGCTGAATTCACTGAGAGGTCTGCACACGTAAATTCCCCTATTGACATAAATGGGGTTAAAAAGTGTGTTTATTCTTGATTGTGCCATCGCCTTTTCATTTACAGTGGTACTTCAGGTTACAGACGCTTCAGGTTACAGACTCCGCTAACCCAGAAATAGTACCTCAGTTTAAGAACTTTGCTTCAGGATGAGAACAGAAATCACGGTGCAGCGGTGCGGCAGCTGCGGGAGGCCCCATTAGCTAAAGTGGTGCTTCAGGTTAAGAACAGTTTCAGGTTAAGTACGGACCTCCAGAACGAATTAAATACCTAACCAGAAGTACCACTGTACAAAGAAAGCTGGAAATTCATGTAGGGTGATCTCTAGGGGGAATCAAGGGTCCCAGAGGCCCTTGTACCTGTGGCTTTTTATGTGAGGACCCATGGGCAGTATCTAAAAGCAAACCAAGACTCAGCTTTGAGCTAGTAAGAAAACTTGCAGTAAAACAATGCCTAGCGACCTTTAATTGCTGGTGTGCTTCCCAGTAAATCCTAATAGGTCAGCTACAACTCTACATTAGTTCTCTAAATTAGGGGTCATCTCCTGTGGGTGCCAGCGCCCCCCAAAATGCCCCTGGTGGCAAAGGTCTTAGTAAATATCTACTCAAAAATCCACAATGTACAACACATGGTTTCCTCTTCCTGCTCAGTTCCTGTTAGCACTGACTCAGCCTCTCCTACATGGAACATGCCCCCTTAAACCTGCCCACATTTTGCTGGACACCCACCCTTCTTTTTGCTCTGAACAGGAGAGGTGCAAACAGAGGCGCAAAAACAATGATTTGAATGTGTTATAAACATGCAACACCAGATGGTGCCAGAGAGCATAAAGTTTTTCCACATGAATTCCCATAAGGTTTTTTTCTTTCTTATAACGATCTAATTTCTGACTTATTTATAGTGCCCCCCCCCCCGGTGTATAGATCCACCCTGTGAGAGAGGCTGGTGGTGACTGATGTTGTTGCTGATGGGGGGGGGAGAGAGATTGCTTGCACAATTTTCTGACCCTCTCTCTTTTTCTGCTTTCAGATGTGGCAGCCATTATGGCATGCAGTGGTGTGAGGTCAGTGGACTAAGGGGACTAGGCTAGTCCCCTAAATATTCCCAAGCGCCTCCTTCCCATAGCCCGGGAAGCTTTGGCCTGGCTTAGAGAGGGAGTTGCGATGCTCTGGGTCCAAGAGCCCACCCAGCTTTGGGAAGGAGGCAGGAGGGCACCAGCATCATATCAGAGGCCTGGTACCTTCTTCCCAAACCATGGAAAAGCTTCAGCCTGGCTTAGGGAGGAAAGCATGATGCTCAAACTCGCAACATCGGGACATTGCAATGTTCAAATTGCCCTTGCAAGCTGGCGCCTCCGGCCCTAACTGTTCCCCAGGAAAAAATTCACCGCACACCACTGATGGCATGCTCCCACAAGAGCAGAGCTTCTGTTCTTTCTACCATATGAGGACTTTTCTTGTCAGGCAACATAGCGGAACATGTATGTGTTTTTAATTAATCCACAGCCTGCGCTGCGGTGAAGGATGTTGAATTTTTCAGCAGGTTCGCCTGCAGCCCGGTCTATTATGGTTGCCAACTTTATGTGCAGTTCACAGAACTTATCCTTGTAATATTGAGAAACACTTCTGGAAAAGTTCCAGCCATTGTGCTGTGTGCATATCCATGCTCCAGCCCGGCGCAACAGTATTTATGCGGCTTGGGGCACACATGCTTTTGTGATATAAGGGGATCCTTGAGTTACATGCTTCTTGGCATAAGAGGATCCTTGAGTTTCACTGTTCGTTGGCTCCACTTGGACAAGAAACCGCTTAGCAGCACACTTAACTTTTAAATTTACGTTATGAGAGTTTAGCTTTAAACCCTCCAAACTCCAAGCTACCAGTCAACAGCCTTTTGTCACAAATTGCTGCCAAAATATACTTTGTGTAGATTCCCCTTTTCCACGATGGCTTTCCAAAAAACCTAACTCTTGGCATTTCAAAATGGCTTTAGTCATCTTTCTGATTTTTCTTTATGTGTTTATTTTATGGGCTGAGTGAGGCCCCATCTGCACTATAAGCAGTATAATACTGCTTTAAAACAGTCATGGCTTCTTCACTCAAAGAATTGTGGGAAGTGTAGTGTCATACTGCCAAAATTTAGAAAGGCTCAGAATGTGATTTTGCCTAGATCTCACTACACTAATGTTTATTTCAAGTGTGCTTGCTTGCCCCCACCTCCAATAGCCTTCTGCCTGAAATTTAAACTGAAAATATTACAAGTCTACATTTCTCAAGCTACTACCAAGAAGGCTCTCTGCATGGTTCAGTGCAGCTTTACTTCTCACAGTGAGGGAACTGCCAGAAGGCCCTTGGAGCTGGACCTCAGTGTCCAGCCTCAATGTTGCGGGTGGAGATACTCCTTCAGTTATACTGGGTCGAGACCATTTAGAGCTTTAAAGCACAACCAACACCAATTATGCTCAGAAACATACTGGAAGCCAATCTAGATCTTTCAGGACTGGTGTCATATGGTCTCGGCAGCTGCTCCCAATCACCAGTCTAGCTGCTGTATTCTGGATTAGTTGTAGTTTCTGAGTCACCTTCAAAGGTAGTCCCACGTAGAGTGCATTGCAATTGTCTAAGTAGGAGATAACCAGGACATGCACCACTCTGGTGAGACAGGCAGGTAGGGTCTCAACCGACATACCAAATGGAGCTGGTAGACAGCCACCCTGGACACAGGATTAACCTGTGACTCCATGAACAGCTATGTAGTTTGTAGCAAGGCACCATGTAAAAGAAAACATTACACAGTTTCCTAAGCAACATGCAGCCTTTGTCCCACCTTGACACTGCAATTGCTAAGTGGCATTGTGAGAAAGTATCCAGAGAAGGAATTGCACACAAATGCAATAGCACAAGTCAGCTTTAAATTCTAGCCAGGGTCAGGAAGGAGAATCTGTTTTTTAAAAGCATTCTTTGATGCTCCTTATAATTGCTGACCCATTTTCATTTGAGTGAATCTCTGCATCTTGCAGATCAGAGGCCGGTGGACACATAATATGTTATGGATCACAGGGAAAGCACTTTAAGTTCATTGTTACATGTAGATTGTCACTAGGATGAATCAGTCTGTTGATGGCCTTTGTCACTTCTGCATGTACATATGCCCCACATTTTATGCATATATGTGTTTGTGTGCTGTATATATCTACACACACACACACACACTATCTCAAAAGACACATTTCTAAATGTATTTCCTCTTAAAATACACATGAATATCTTCTTTATTGATTTTTCTTTTAATCAAGGATTTCATTGAAACATTCAGAAAGTGTGAAAGCCACTGAATAATTTAAGTTCTGAGCCACACATTAATTGAGGAACGTAATAACAGGAGAAGAACTCTGCAGGATCAGGCCAATGGCCCACCTAGTCCAGCATCCTGTTCTCACAGTGGCCAACCTGATGCCTGCATTTAGAAGCAGTCCCGTCTAAAGAACACGTCACACAAGTGCGAAGGAACAGGGAGAGAATGGGGAATAGCAAGCCTGTTGCACCAGTTCTCAAATAGTGGTTCTTATAATGACCAGCTAACATATTTTTTATATATATAATTTTTTAATTAGTTTTCAACATATCATTTTCAACAATAATTTAACGTACTTTAACATCTTATACAATTTTTTTACTTCCATCAATTTTTTGACTTAACATCTTATACAATTTTTTGACTTCCATCAATCAATCTGAAAATTTTCCAATCTATTTACTTAATTTACATTTCTTATTTTCACTATTACATTTAAATCTCATAACCAATCTCTCTCTTCTTTCTCTTCTTTGCAGTATTTCATATATTTCTCCTTACAAAACTTCTTGTAGTCCTATTAGCGTAATTTGTTGTTTACAGTTGCTCTTCAAATAGTTTGTATATTTCTTCCAATCTTCTGTAAATCTCTGGTCCTGCAGGTTTCAAATCCTAATGGCCAGCTAACTTGGGAGGGGGGGATCTACACACAGGGGGGGAAAACACTATAAATAAGTCTGAAATCGTTGTAGCAAAAGCAAAAGAAAACCCCTATGTAAAATTGCTGTAGAAAGGTTTTGTGCTCTCCTGTGCCATCTGCTGTTGCATGTTTATTACACATTCCTCATAAGGCTTGGTTTCATGTCCTCAATAAATTCTTCCATTGACCCCGTGGTGGCTGGTGCTCATTGGAACTGGTAAGGCAGAGAGACAAAATGTAGACAGAACTAGATGCAATGGCAGACACAGCCAACTACTGCTGCTTCTGACCACATGCTGCTCCCTACAGAGTTCAGCAAAGACAACACCAAGACTAAGAAGGAAGAAGTTGGCAGTACCACACCCTGGACTCCCTGTTAAGTAAGAAGGGAAGACAGAGGTTGGTAGGGTAGTGCCCCATTTTCCCCAATGGACCAGCCGCCATTTATTGGACCCAGTCACAAATGGAAAGGTAATGATTCTGAAATATATTGGTGTAGTAATCAATGAAATTGTGTTTTGCATGGGGGAAATTAAAAGCCATCTAGGGCTTCTTAAAAACAAAACACCACTATCTGCGCTCAAGTCCCCTACACATTATGGTGCTTAAATTATCCGCAGGCCTTTCCCATTGCTCAGTAATGAAAGGTCATCCCAATCTCCTCGTAATGTGCCATAAATATCTCTCGGCTAGCATGAGAAAAGCCACATGAAACGAGTGGGAAATACATAAAGTGCAGTCTGAACAGTAAAAGATCAAAATGATATTTTATTTCACAGGAGCCATAACTGAGGCTAAGTTTGTGATCCACAAAATGCTTACTTTGGCTTTATCCAATTAACTTCAATGGGATTAAGTCAGCTAAATGGTTTGTGGGGCACATACTCTTTGTTTATAAATATGCAAGAACTTAGTGGTTTAATCTAAAGCTTTTCTCTCTTTTTTTAAGCCTTTCCCACTGGAAAGAGCATCTGGCTCTGGTATGATTTATTAGCAAACCATTGATAAATGGTTAAAGATGCTTGAATCTTCAAGGATGTGAAGAAAACATCAAGCAAGGCCGGGAATGTGTGCCTGTCCTTCCTAGCCATGCCCCTTCCTTTGAACTCTAATCATTATGACTTATAACTAGCCAGTATTGTGCTTCTTCAGCCAATACAGCTGTGTTTATGAAAGCAGCTCTTGAAAGTACCAAGTCCCATCCCAGAACCATCAGTGCTCTTGATCGCATTGATTGTTTCAGACTCCCAAAGTAGCCAAGTTTGGACCTGGCTCCACCCCCAGAATGCTACTGCAGGTAACTCGCAACTCACATGGGGTTATGATTTGGGGATAGTCCATAACCCAAAATCACATACAGCGGTACCTCAGTTTAAGAGCAGTCCTGTTTATGAACGATTCGCTTTACAAACTCTGCAAAACCGGAAGTAGTGTCCAAGTTTGCGAACTTTATCTTGGGTCCCAGTTTGTGAACTTTACCTCGGTCTAAGAATGGAATCCAAATGGTGGAAGGGCACTGGTGGCAGGAGACCTCATTAGGGAAATCATGCCTCAGTTTAAGAACGGTTTCAGTTTAAGAACAGACTTCCGGAACGGATTAAGTTCATAAACCGAGGTACCACTGTATAGTCAAAAAACCCTCCCAACTGCTCCCATGTAGAAGGTACGCAATCTTACCTTCCTGGAGCTTTGTACCGAGTGAACCTTGCTCCCCACACAAGAGGGAGAGCTTTTAAGCTCCCTGACTTGCTTACCATTATCATCATCATCATCATCATATTAACAGGTTCTGGGAGGCTACTGCATGATTTCATGGGGCTGCCTGAGAACTTGCTAGATCTCACGAATTATCTCATAATTCTACACCTATTTATTTGGAAACAACTGCATTGTATTTCAATGGAATTTACTTCTCGGGGGGGGGGGATTGCTTTATGTGGCAGGCAAAGTTAAAATTTAAAGCCTGGACCATATTATTCCCTTGCTCCCGCTTGTCACAGTCTGGGTTACAGGCAGACGGAGTCCCGGCTTGGTACATTAGAACCGGGGTAGAGGTCAGGAAGCAGGAATCAGCAGTCCAGGGTCAGCAGTCCAGAGGTCAGGAAGCCAAGAGTCCACGAATCAGGAAACCAGGAGTCAGGAAGCCAAGAGTCCGAGGGTCAGGAAACCAGTAGTCAGGAATCCAAGGGTCCAAGAGTCAGGATACCAGGAGGCAGGAAGCTGAAGCACAGCTAGGTGGGTAGCGTGTTGCTGTGGCAAATTGCCAGAGGGAAATGCTGGTCTTATATATCCCTCCCGGCCCTTGCTACCAGGTACCATGAGTCTTCTGTCAAGCCTCACCTGTGCGGCCACGCCTTGCCCTTCCAGACCAAACTCAGGAAGGCCCCAGTCCTGTGAGACCCTGCCAGTCACAGGGCCTGGCTCCTGCACGCAGTTCTGACACCGCTTTTCTCCATTGGATGCCCTAGATGGCTGTATGAGGCAAAAATTGGGAGTTTTTGGCATTCCAAATGTTGGACTATAATGTCCATCATCACTGGTCATGCTGGTGGGGTCAATGTGATTCCAGGAGCGTATGGACGGCCACAGGTAAGCAGTCCCTGGTGGAAGATGCCATGCACATGGATTATACACTAAAAATACTGCTTCTACTACTACAGATGAGATTTAGGATCAGTCAAGAGGCAAGAAGCATTTAAATGCCTCCACAAAATTTCCAGCACACAACTGTGCTGTGTGCTGTTTCTGCTGCATCATCTCTTATTTATTTTACAGCAGTGCCATTTCTAAGCAAACAAACTTGCCCATTTCCATGAACATTTGTAGCGGCTTGATCCCACCCATCCACCTTGGATGGACAAATTTGTCAATTCTGACTCTCTTGAATTCAGTTCCCCACATTTTCAGCAATTGGTGAGTCTGGGTTTCTTTATCGTCATTAAAATTTGTCAGCATTTTCGTGCAAACACTTGAACACATTTTTGCCTGCATTTTTTAATACTATGCACATCTTTGCATACAGGTTTCCCTAACAGAAGGTTAACCTACAGAATGTAGGTTACCTTTACTGATGTATGCCTCTTTATGAACCAGTATATGCATTCTTCTACACAGTATGCGGTTGGAGAAGTGCATTGCAAAATTCAAAGAAGTGTGCATTTTGGTTTGTGTGTTGCTTTGGGAGCTAGCTGCAGATTATGTGGCTTCTCATTAAAATGAACAGAAAACTAGATTTCTCCTGCATCGCATCTATTTCTGTCTTATCCAAGAAAGCCTTCTCCTTCCACCCACCAGAACCAGCTCTCCCACACACCTTGAACCTTCTGTGAAGGAGGAAATGGAACAACAGAGCAGCTCACCAGCATACAAATCTTTCACATTTATTAGTAGGGCTGCCCTTCACCTGGGTTTCCCCAGATACATCTGGGAGTTGGGCTGCAAAACGGTGTCTGGGCGGATTTTTGCTGAATTGGCAAAATATCCAGGAGAACCCAGACATATGGCAAGTAGGCTGATTTTCACTTTGGGGAATATGGCAACCCTATTATTAGTCAATGAAGGCTTTGCTTGAAAGTTTTTTTTCTGTTCCTTCGATTCCTAGCAAAGACACATGGAATTAATATTTTAAAATAATAATAAAAAATTCAAGGGATTTGAAGTCCCATCATTAAGTATGCCAAATCCCTAATATGGAGATTTATTGATATATGATCAAATAATCATAAACTTGAAGGAACTGAAAACGCATATAATTGTATTGTACATCCCATACTATGGACTGGCAAGTAGCTATAAGCCAGTTCCTGATCCAATATCATTAGAAGCTGTGGTTTTTATAACGGAAACTATAGAAAGTTGTGTTTCAAACTATTAGTACAAAAAACCCCAGTTGTTCTGACTATAAAATGGGAAGCCACCTACTAAGATGACTTAGTTAAAAATTTATTTGAGCAATATTGCGTTGTTAAACAACATGCCTTCCCACCCATTCCTGCTGCCTTTTCATTTGATACCAAAAGTCTATTTCCCTTTGGTGGGTAGGCTTAGCAGTTTCAGATATGACTGAGCAGCTTTGCACATACATTCCAGGCACAACATCCCAGGGATTATTATTATTTTTTGGAGAGGGGTGGTCTTCAAAAGCATGTGGGGCTCATTACCACGTTTACACATATATTGTGCCTCTACATCACACTGCCAGTAAGCAAAATGTCATGTGTGACATTGCTGATCTGATCTGGCAGGCTGCTCTTATGCAGTGTAATCTATGCATGCTTACTTGGGCATAAATTCCATACCCTCCAACAGCCAGTGTTGTTAAGAGTGGTGGACTCATAATCTGGACTCGTAATCTGGGTGACCTTGGGCTAGTCACACTTCTCTGAAGTCTCTCAGCCCCACTCACCTCACAGAGTGTTTATTGTGGGGGAGGAAGGGAAAGGAGATTGTTAGCCGCTTTGAGACTCCTTGGGGTAGTGATAAACTCCTCCCCCTCCTCCTCCTCCTCCACATTTCACCAATGAAAATAGGGGCATCCTAAGGAAAAGTGGGACATTCCAGGATCAAATAAAAAACAGGGATGGCATCTGTAAATCTAGGACTGTTTCCAGAAAATAGGGATACTTGGAGGGTCTGAAGTCCAAAATAAGTGTCCTTAAGATTGTAGTCTTAAGGCACTGACTGGTCTGTCAATACACTTTCTTCAGATATTCAGAATTTCCTCACACCGCCACAGAATCTTTCCCTATAATTCTGGAGACAATGATGAATCTACCGTATCTTTCCATCATATGTATTTAATTGATCTGAGATATAAATGGAATTTGTTATGGGGTAGGAATTTGTTGCTGTTGTTGTTCCTAACCATTTTACCAGCACTGCTCTTGAAAGAGAAGAATCGCTGAACTCTTCAGCTGAACCAGACCTGACTATTATTGGCTGTGTAACATTAGAGTGGCTTTGTGTGTTACACAAAATGCCACCGGCTGGATGGACAAATGGCTTGTAAATCCTGCAGGCGACACTTTCTTTAATGGGTGAATCCACTCTTCAACTGGAAACTCCCATTCTTCGAATTGTCCTGGATATTAGCTGTATTGTTTATTAGGAGGGTATTTACATCAGATGTCTTTGGAAAACATGTCCTTTGGGACTATAACTGTTGATTGCTAGTTTGGTAACTGTGCAAACTTGTAAATTATATACGGCTCTTTTTATTTATCTTTCAAGGTTTTTCATGAGTATATTTTTAAAACAAGAAACAAAACAAACTGAAACAATACAAGATATTGTATTATAATTTTTCTTTTTAAAAAATCCATAACTGTGTTGATGACATATTGTACTACAAATCGTATCATAATTTAGGACAATAACATAGATTTATCATTTAAATGGTTGGTAAAATAGAGAGAGAAGGATCAGTTTCCAGATTATAATTCTCTAAGTGCATACAAATTTGAATGAACAGTAATTTTGGAAGGCTTTACGGAAGAATGGTTATTAGCATTAGTAGTTTCCAGTTTTGAGGCAGAAGTAGATGTTGAAAATGTGGGAACTAACTTAATTTTTACTTGTAAAATGTAGCAAGCAAAAGTTATTTGTATGTAATCTTAAAATAAGAAATATACACCCAAATGTTGCCTAATGCATAAATCATGAAATCATTAGTGTGTCTTATTCAGGCAAAACACCTGTGGGAAACCTGATGAATGTTGCAGTTGTGATAAGATTATCTGCCACTGAACTTTGGCCCATCTCATCTCGACCTTTTTGAAATTTCTACAGATTTGGGTAATTAATTTATTTTCCTAACAAAGAGATTGAGTTATTCCTTGTGTCACTTTCGGCAAAATTCAGTGGCAGCCATGGGATAAAATGGACCAGAGACTTTTCACTAAAATTTTAATTGGTCCCGTTCATGTTCAACATCTTTAGGATTTTAGAGAGAGGAAGTTTAATATGGCATCTCTGAGACGGGTGCAACTTCTCAGGATGTTTTTTGTAGCAACAACTTCACTGGAGTCTTTCTAAGTCAGTAACTTTCTGGAAAAGTTCCAGGGTGCATGACTCTTTTTAAAACCAGTAGCAGAATGGTTCCGAGGCAGATCCTGAACAATTGCTTTGAAACAATAGGGTTACAAATGCATGAAGCATAACATTGTAATAGCATTTTGACAGATAAGGAATAGCAGATTGTATCATTTAATGTAACAAACCAGAGAGGAAGATGAAGGAAGTCAACTGGAAGGGGGGGTGGAAAGTAGAATGTATGTTTGGAAATGATTTTGATATTTGTTGTTGTGGCGTTTGCCCTCCTAGGTGTGTGACATCATACTGGGTTCATAAGGAAAGGGTTAACTAATTGTAAAATGACAAACCAATGGGAACCCAAGGGGCAGAGTTAACTGTGTTTAAGCACAGAGGTTTTTTGGAGGAGTTAGAGTTAGAGTTAGGGTGGTTGAGAAGACAGTCTGGAGTTAGAAGAGACAGAGAAGATAAGTCTTCGGGTTGGGCTAGTCTGGTGTGAGTGAGTGAGAGAATTTGTTAAGAGGAGTCAGTCAAACAGTTGAGATGCAGTGGTGCCTCGCAAGACGAAATTAATTTGTTCCGCGAGTTTTGTCGTCTTGCGATTTTTTTCATCTTGCGAAGCACAGTGTCGGGAAAGTTTTGGAAAAGCTTCAAAAATCACCAAAGTCTTTAAAAACCTCAAAAAAGGCTACCACACCGCGTTCTATGAGTTGCTCCTCGAAGTCAAGTCGCAACTGTATTAACGGTGTTAAGAAAAAGGAAACAAACTTGCAAGATGTTTCCGTCTTGCGAAGCAAGCCCATAGCGAAAATCGTCTTGCGAAGCAGCTCAAAAAACAAAAAACCCTTTCGTCTAGCGAGTTTTTGTCTTGCGAGACATTCGACTTGCGAGGTACCACAGTAATCAGTCAGAAGGTATTAGGAAGGTATAGGCCAGTAAAGAAACTAAAGTTAAGATACTGACAGGAATATTATCTGAGAAACCAACTTGTTAATGTTTGTAAAATAAACTTGGTTTTTTGGTTCACTTTTAACAACTGTCTGGACCCAGTGTTTTACCAGAGAGTAACTGGTTGGTGGCAGCGGGGAAGTGAGCACAGTGGTGGCAAAGGGATAAATAGACCGTTAAACGTCCGGGGACCTTGTGTGATCGCCACAGTTGTTAGAAAAGAAAACTAATAAAAATTATATACAAAAAAAAGAAAGAAAGAAACAATGGGGTTACTGCGGAAATTATATTCAAGCTCAAGGGTGTGTGTTTTTTTCAGATCAGGGTTTTAGTGAATGAGCTAGCCCATCCACCTTGGCCAAGCAGTCTAGTAAACAGGGACAAAACTCTGTTCTATTTCTGACAGGGCAGCTCGGAGAGTTTGAAAGCCAGAGATTCAATATCTGTGTTGTTACTATGAGAGCTTGCCATGAAATATGCTGTAATCTTTGCCAGGGGTATGCAGTGCATTCCCCGGAGGATTTCCAACGCCGAAGAGCACTTCAGAGTGCTTAACGGTCTGTTCAGGCTTTACCTTATAAGGCTTTTTAGTTTCAGCACGGGGGAATGACAGCCACTCCAGGAGCCAGCCTTCTGGGAACAGATGACAGCAACCATTGACTCCTTTCTCGGGGCCAGGTTCATTCTGTCTGCCTTGAACTGTTAACCTTTTTAGCTCCTGTCATGATAACTGGTTTAAGAATGTGAGCAGGGGAGAGCAGGAGCAAGATGTGGTACTCTGGATTTGCTTTTCATATTGTAGTGTGTGTGCACATGTGTGCAGACTAATTTTTACGTACAGGAAGACTCAGAAGTCTCATGGACTGGATGCATGTGTCCTGGGCACATGGGTCACGCCTGGAGAGGCACATGCCATGTTCACCCTTTGCATATATTCTATATAGTGAGCACTTGGGTTTACATGCAGCAACAGGGGACGCAGGTGGCGCTGTGGTCTAAACCACTGATCCTCTTGGGCTTGCTGATCAGAAGGTCAGCTGTTCGAATCCCCGCAACGGGGTGAGCTTCCGTTGCTGTGTCCCAGCTCCTGCCAACCTAGCAGTTCAAAAGCACGCCAGTGCAAGTAGATAAATAGGTACCGCTTTGGCAGCAAGGTAAACAACATTTCCATGTGCTGCTCTGGTTTCAGTGTTCCGTTGCGCCGGAAGCGGCTTAGTCATGCTGGCCACATGACCCAAAAAAACTGTCTGCGGACAAACGCTGGCTCCCTCAGCCTGTAAAGCGAGATGAGCGCCTCAACCCCAGAGTCATCTGCAACTGGACTTAACTGTCAGGGATCCTTTACCTTTACCTTTTTATGCTCCCTTTACCTCAGCATATACATTTTCCGTACATTACTTGATTGGAGAACTTTGCTGCAAAATTCAGAGAGATACTATTTTCAGAGGGTGGCTGTTTTTCAGTTCTTGCATATTGTTATATAAAGTGAGAAAAAGGATGATCTGCCTTCAAATGTGAACTGAATCAAAATTCTCCCTTGTTCCTCTGCCTGAAGTCGCATCTGTTTGGGGCCTACTGGAAAATATTCCCAAGCGCTGTTGTTGTTTAAAAAATTAACGAGTGAGCTGTGGTTTAACTCACAGTGCTATTTTAACATGAATGTTGCCGTTGCAGCCAGACCTGATGTCCACACAGGACTGTGGCTTCTTTTACTCTGCTGTCACATTTGTTCCCGCCCCCCACTCAGTGCCTTCTTTGTTTGCCCAGAAAATAATAAGAATGTCCTTTTTGTTCACTTTCCTGTGAGCTTTTGGCAAAGCACAGTCGTTCCAAGAGTTCCAACCACAGAGTCTTGCTCGGATATTCATTTTCCATAATAGATGTGAAGGTTACATGCTGTACAATTGCAAGCATGATTTCCATTACCCAGATATAAGTTGGGGATTTGCGGATTTGACTGCAGGCAATGCAGAGTGTTACGAAGCCATAGTACTAAGCTCTAAACGGTTTGGGACTCAAATACCCAAGGGAAGGTCTCTCATTATACCAGGCATAGGCAAACTCGGCCCTCCAGATGTTTTGGGACTACAACTCCCATCATTCCTAGCTAACAGGACCAGTGGTTGGGGATGATGGGAGTTGTAGTCCCGAAACATCTGGAGGGCTGAGTTTGCCTATGCCTGCCTTATATCCAAAGATCTTCAGAGCAGCCTCTTCTGTGTGTCCAGTGCCGGATTTACGTATAAGCTAAACAAGCTCTAGCTTAGGGCCCCACTCTCTTGGGGGCCCCCAAAAAATGTAAAGGAAAAAAACTCGATGTACATTTCCAGAATATAAGAAAAACACACAAAGTAAAACCTACATATAGCAACAGTGTTTTTGTTGTTGTGTAGGCTCCTATGCTGTAAGTAATGGGCCCCGCCTGCTAGCCTGCTCCCTAAAATATCACTGGTTTGCTCATTTCTATATATAGGGTGCCGACATGTATATATAGAGAGCCAGTGTGGTGTAGCGGTTAAGAGCGGTAGACTCGTAATCTCATGAACCGGGTTCACTTCCCCGCTTCTCCACATACAGCTGCTGGGCGACCTTGGGCTGGTCACACTTCTTTGAAGTCTCTCAGCCCCACTCACCTCACAGAGTTTTTGTTGTGGGGGGGAGGGAAAGGAGAATGTTAGCCACTTTGAGACTCCTTCGGGTAGTGATAAAGCAGGATATCAAATCTAAATATTCTGCATGGACTGGTTGCATGGCAACATGCACAAATGGCTTTAGATACCTATTAGGTCCATAAATTACCATATAGGGTATATTCAACACAAACAGCAGTGACAATGTGTTGTTGACAAAGGACAGCTGGACATATAAAGGGCCCCATTACCTTCAGTAGCTTAGGGCCTCAACAAACCTAAATCCAGCCCTGTGTGTGTCAGATATGCATTGTGTGGGAATGTGAAAATGGCCTGCTGTAGTGGTACCACAACTGTGGAATCCGATCCCTTTTGGAAATGTACTTGGCGCATGGGTGATTTGCCAGTCCCTCCTATGAATTTTCAGTGCTTTAGTGAAACTGCAGTCTGCTCTGTGGTTTGTGTTAGAAGCCTCCCACAGTGGCTGGCAAAACCCAGTAAGATGGGTGGGCTATAAATTATTATTATCTCCTATTGTAACCTTGGTTTTTTGTGATTTACAACTGTTCTATGGAATTTTACGGAATCTGTATCTTGTACCCCACCCTGAGATCAACAGGGATGAAGGGTGTGTTCTTAATGAATAATTTCTGAGAGTACTGTGTGCTAGAAATCAGGTTTTTAGCATTGCAGCTCCAGCCCTCTGGAATTCGTATCCAAAGAAGTAATACAGGTTCCTAACACCTTGCTGTTGAAGACATTTTTGTTTAAGAAGACTTCCCCTGAAGCTAGGAATGGAGGAGAAATTAGATTCATTCACATTTAAAGACAAATTTACTTAATATGCACTTTCCCAAACAAATATTGAACCAAATGAAGCCAGCCTTCAAAATTTGCAATTCTGAGCTTTGTAATTGTGTTCTCCAGAAAAGTAATTTGTACAATAATGCACAGAGTAGTGTAAATAGTGTATAAAATGTATATATATTACGGAGAATTGCATCAAAAAAGTGAATATTAGAAGACATTCACACCAAAACACTGGTGAATTTGCACAGGGATTTTCATTTAACAAAAATTGCAAACTTATCTGGAAATGTCGAGAACTAAACTTAAATGAGAAACTGAGAGAAGCCAAAATTGACAGATTCACCCATCCCCTGCATAAAGCATGACCCAGTTATCTTATGGAATATTAATTGTGCAATGGTGAAAATGTTATGATTGCTGTTTAGTTTATTAAAACTGTAATCTTTTTCATTTTAACTGATTGTATACAGTACCTTTTGGTTGGAGGGGAAATCTAATTCAGAATAAAGTTAAAGCCAAATCTATCTAACAGACACTTTCTGAAACAATACATGAACTGAAATACAGCTGTCATTTGAAATTCACAATTCTACGAATTTTGCAAAACATTTCTCCAACCAACCAATGTTGCAAAAATACACGTATTAGGAATAAATGTGCACATAAATGAAGATACTGGTGAAAGCAACATACATAATGCAATACATTAGGGAAACCTGTTTTGCAAAAAATGTGTACATTAGTCAAAACTGCGTATAAAAAAATGTGTTTATTAGTGTGGTGCCACCTTAATGGCTGTAAATTCCAGTCCTGAATGTTTGGAGGCAGGACTGCTGTCATTGCAAAACATACTGGGGTAGATATTCCACCACCCAGCATTATTGATTTCTTCCTCGAGCCACCCTTTTTTAATCAGCACTAGTCAAATATGTCTAGCCACCATTTTAACTTCCCAGAATGCTCCAGAGGCATGCTGCATCATGGCCAATGTGGGAAATTTAAATGGTGGTTATGCGTCAGCCACCCGGTATTGCTCAGAGTGTTGGGGTTCAAGCCTGCTGCTGTCACCAGGAAAGCCCACTGATGGTCAGAAGGAAACTTCTAGTAGCGCCCCTCAACAGTTTTCCAGCGTGCAGAGGAGTTATATCACTGCACAGTATCATAGTAGGCAGAAAAATGAAACTTAAGTATGTAAACATAGTGGAGTGGCGTTCCTAGGGGTATAAATAGAAACTAGGCTTCAAGCTTATTATACCTGTTGGAAGCAGGTTCTGAGTAACTCCTGCTTCTGTTTACTCCTCCTGAGTAAACATGGAAATAACCCAGCTGCCAGGTTGCAGTTCTACGCACTCTTGCTTGAGAGTAAGCCATACTGCGATTTTTAGACGACATCTGAAGGCAGCCCTGCTTAGGGAAGCTTTTAATGTTTAATAGGTTATTGTATTTTAATATTCCATTGGAAGCCACCCAGAGTGGCTGGAGAAACCCAGCCAGATGGGCGGGGTATAAATAATTATTATTATTATTATTATTATTATTATTATTATTTTCAAGGAAGAATCAGAGGATCGGACTGCAAATTAGGGTGGGAATCCTGCAGTCCTCCAGACGATGCTGGACTCAAATGCCTATCCCATCAGCACCAGTTAGTGGTTGGGGTGGTGGAGTCCACAAATATCTGGAGGGCCGCAGGTTCCACACTCCTGCTGTAAACTCACGTGACATCGAATCGTAGAGTTGGAAGGGACCCAGAGGGTCATCTGGTCCAACCCCCTGCAATGCAGGAATCTCAGCTAAAGCATCCATGACTGATGGCCATCCAACCTCTGCTGAAAAACCTCCAGGGAAAGGGAGCCCACAACCTCCTAAGGGAGACTGTTCCACTGTCAAACAGCTCTTACTGTCAGAAAGCTCTTCCTGGTGTTTAGTCAGAATCTCCTTTCTTGCAACTTGAAGCCATTTGTTCAAGTCCTACCCTCCAGAGCAGGAGAAAACAATCATGCTCCCTTTTCCATGTGACAGCTTATGAGATATTTGAAGATGGCTATCATATCTCTTCTCAGTCTCCTCTTTTCCAGGCTAAACATACCCAGCTCCTTCAAGTGCTCCCCGTAAGGCTTGGTTTCCAGACTCTTCATCATCTTGGTTGCCCTCCTCTGCACACGTTCTAGCTTGTCAACATCCTTCTTAAATTGTGGTGCCCAAAATTGGACACAGTATTCCAGGTGTGGTACTATTATTTCCCTTGATCTGGACAATAGATTTCTGTTGATGAAGCCTAGAATAGCATTAGGTGCTGGTGGGGGTTTTTTGCTGCCGCATCACACTGTTGTCTCATGTTAAGCTTGTGGTCCATCAAGACTCCTAGATCCTTTTCGCATGCACTGCTAGTAAACCATGAACTAACACCTGAAATCCCAGTTATGGAGACATGTTTTGTTGTCTTCAATTGAAGCCTTACTAAATATGAAATAACTTGCTGACCAGCGCAGTAGGATGTCAGTAACGCAGGAATAAGTACAATGGTTTTCTTAAAGGATTTTGTATATCAAAATGCTTCCTGTCTTTTTTCTTGTCATTTGTAATCATGGACCTGAGTAAGAGAGCACTGCATACATGTAGCAAGGTAAAGAGAAACTGAGAAAAGGTATAATACCACCACTTCCTAAAGCTTCAGGCTACTGGCATCATTGCCAGATCTCGATAGGAATTATCTCATGAATTGCAAACAAGCACTACAGGAATTTATATTTTGGAAAGTCAAACACATAGGGCAAAATTAAACAAGCCTTCGATATCTGATACAGACTCATAGATATGCCATTTCCTCTCCTGGTGGCGGTCCAAATTCAAATGTAGAAAGAAACAGAAAGAAAAAATGGGGGCGGGGAGGAAAGCAGAAACAATAACATATAGTAATATATTTCCTCCTGTGGGGCAAAAAACAAGTCCGGTTAGTTAAAAGGGGTTGATTAAGATTGGGACAATAGTATGGGTTAAACCTCCCCTTCTTGCATTGTAGTCATGATGCCCACAGAGGGGGGGGAGTACAGTTGTATTTACCCCTTTCCAAAAAAACCCCCACAGGTGGTCTGATCAGCAATGTTCTGCCATTTTGTTTGGTAGCACTTTTAAAATTTGCAGCCATTCATAAGAAAACGGGGCGAAGGCGTGGAGGTTGGCAATTCCATGCCCTCCGACATTCTTCAGGTGAAAATAGAGACATTTCTCATTCCCCCCACAACTGACCTTCCTTGAAAACTGACCTTCCACCATTTTTTAGAAGAAGAAGAAGAAGAAGAGTTTGGATTTGATATCCCACCTTTCACTCCCTTTAAGGAGTCTCAAAGCGGCTAACATTCTCCTTTCCCTTCCTCCCCCACAACAAACACTCTGTGAGGTGAGTGGGGCTGAGAGACTTCAGAGAAGTGACTGGCCCAAGGTCACCCAGGAGCTGTATGTGGAGGAGCGGAGACGCGAACCCAGTTCCCCAGATTACGAGGCTACCGCTCTTAACCACTACACCACACTGACTCACAAATAGAATAGAATAGAATAGAATTTATTATTTATACCCCGCCCATCTAGCTGGGTTTCCCCAGCCACTCTGGGCAGCTTCCAACAGACTATTAAAATACAGTGGTATTTTGGTCCCTCCCCACCCTGTAGAGCATTTCTTATCAGAAGAAGGGCAAGTGCCACCTCTACCACAACAATGAGGTACACATGCCCTCCGCTATCTTGAGAAAACACTTTAATCCCCATTTTATTTTATTTTATTTTATTCTTTGGTATATTTACAGAAATGAAAACACACACCAATAAATACGTTTTAGAAAGCAGCAAGATTAGATGCGGACACACAAAGCATTTTTTAAATAATTAAGACTCTTTGCACTCCGCTACCCTCACACGAGGCTGGGTCTCAGCAGCAGCAGCAGCAGCAGCCTTTCCTCCTCCTTGCCTGCTCTCCAGCAGCCACTACGAGCTGCCCAAGAGAGGAGGCAGGCAGCAGTGGTTATTGGGCCACTGCCACTACCGCTCGGTACTAGCGCCAGCTCATCATCCTCTCTCAGCCTGGTGGCAGCAGCACTAACAAGAGAAATAGGGACATTCCAGGATCAAATCAGAAGCTGGAATTGCTTTCTAATTCCAGGACTTTCCCTGGAAAATGGAGGCACTTGGTGGGCATGGAATTTACGCTCCTGTTTCTGTTTCCATCGTGATTCTCCAGCATCCATATCCTGAAATGCCCTGTGAATGTGACAGGGGGGGAAACAGAAGCCCCTTTCATGGGAGAAAGAAAACTCTCAAGGAATTGGAGGTCAAGTTTCTGCACAGCAGAGTGCAGAGTGCTTGTCCATGGAGAGGCATTCAAAGAACACACACACACATTAGTGTGACTACTTGCTTCTGCTAGCCTTAAGCTCCCCCTGAGTGGGCTTTATTAGATGTTTAAAGTTGATATAGAACTTGTAGCACCACCATGCTTGTAGAGGACACTGGCTGCCCATAAAATAACACATCATTAATAACATTAAATTTTAGGGAACTGCTACTGCATGTAGATGGGTGATTTGCTTCTTAGCCACTTTCGCTTATCCTTGCTCTCATTTTAGTAGCTAATGTTTTCTTGGGGAAAGATCAGACGGAATGTGGCAGTGCTTATCACTCAGCTGTTCTGACTAAAGGGCCTTGGGGGATACTTTCCCCCCATTAAAAGCCCATTATAATATTTTGGGAATATTGCAGTCTTGCAATGCTACGAGGCTGGCTGGCCGGGCTCTTTCTGCCTTTTTGAATAGTAACAATAACTGGATCACAGGATGGTGACATATGTCGTACCTGCATGGTACACGTTTGCTGAAAACCCACAAATGGGAACCACTGGGGAACTTCACATGGAAAGGCAGGTGGCAATTTTTGAGACGGGAGACGGGACCCTGACAGATAGTATTGCCAACAAGGCGTGGGAAATCTGAAGCGCTAGTCTTTGTTGGACTGCATCCTTCTCTGAGGAAATAAGAATTAAACTCCACTGGCATCTTCACCTTCCCCCAAAAGGTGCTGTGCCATACACACACACACACACACACACACACACACACACAGTGGTACCTCAGGTTAAGTACTTAATTCGTTCCAGAGGTCCGTTCTTAACCTGAAACTGTTCTTAACCTGAAGCACCACTTTAGCTAATGGGGCCTCCTGCTGCCACCGCGCTGCCGGAGCACGATTTCTGTTCTCATCCTGAAGCAAAGTTCTTAACCTGAAGCACTATTTCTGGGTTAGTGGAGTCTGTAACCTGAAGCATCTGTAACCTGAAGCGTATGTAACCCGAGGTACCACTGTACACACACACACACACACACACACACACACACAAAGTGGTGCATGCAACAAAATCTTGCAGTGCATAGTGCTCCTTTTCAGGATTCCAGACAGACATGTATTTTTTCAAGGTATTCTTTTTCTTACTCCCAACCCCGGTTTATCATCCCCAATAGACCATTAGCATTCTGTGCCCACTGAGTAAGGACTGCCCTGCTGAGAGCCTGAGGGTCCTGCTCCTCACCTCTCTCCACCTGGCCCAGTATTTTGGGGAAAGTTTTGTGGGGAGTTTCTGCTGCTGTTATTGATATTAATTATTTGTACTTTTATTGTTATGTGGAAATTGATCAGTTTGGTTATGCAGTTTTTGATGTGTTTTATTTATTTTTATGACTACTTTGCTATGGTTATATTTATGTCAGTCTTTTCATATTGTAAGCCGCCTTGAGCATTGTTTAAAATGTGAAAAGGCGGCAAATAAATTGATGATGATGCTCAGTCCCCATTTGGTTGTACTTTGGGTTCTCCCCTTCCATGCCCCTGGTGAAGTTTTCTTTCTTTCTAAAGATGGTCTACAAATCCAGCAAAACCACATGGAGGAGCTCATGCTTGGATGTTAAGTTTCCAGTCCTCCTGAGGTTCAGACCCTGAAGAGGCGGAGTCCGACTGCTCAAAGGGTGCATTTGGTGTAGTAGGAAGCAGAGCATGGTAACAGCTGGTGATGTATGGAGTGATATATCCCCAGTCTCTCAATTTACCTTTCCTTATGGTTTAATTTTTACAAAACTGACCAGTGGGGCCCCAAGACTCAAATGCTCAGTAGAAGAAAAACAAACAGTGTAGGGTTTGAGATGAAGCTGTATCATGAAGAAGATTCAGCTTCCCCACCAGCAGCAGAGCTAGCCACTCAGACACCAGGAGTGGCACACATTCCCTGCACCTGGGGGGCAGGGCAAGCTGCCCGGGGGGACGATTGGCACCCAGGGGGTGATCAGTGCAGCAATCTGTCCATGGGAGCAATTGGCATGGTAATCTGCGCCCAGGGGGGCAGCATGGCGATCCGCCCAGGGGGGATTTTGTCACCCCCCTCAGAGATGACACCCGGGGTGAGCCACCCCCACCGCCCCCCTTCCTACTTCCCTGTCCCCCACCCTTAGTTCCATTCCTTAAATCACCCACAACCTCCAGTTTATATTAATTTGGTTAACAACCAAACATTTACACACGTTCTGCCACCAATGCATCTAGTTTAGCCCTAAATCTCTAGCCCTTTTATGCATCAGAAAATGTGGCAAGGATTCCGATCATTGTTAGGGAGCTCAGCACCAGGTCTGTGGTATGAATTTGGCACCAGTTGTTCTTTCTTTTGCCTGTCCCTCTTGCTTTCCCGATCAGGTTCCTTGTTGGATGCTGAAGGGTGAATAAAACTGTAGCCATTCCAGTGTGTTTCTAATCTCGTCGTTTGTCTGAACTGGCTTTCTGCCACTTGGGCTCCAGCTCGGAAATAGAAGAGTCTAGTATTCTGTGTGGTCACATTTGCTTCTGTTGGGAGAATCTATTGTGCAACTGATTTCCTAGAGCAGGCTGCGCCTTAACAAAGAATAAAGCCAGCTAAGCTGTGTAGAATTTAATATTTTGTACTTCTTTATAACTTACTTTCCAAGATTCATCAGATGAAAATGGGGACAATATTATTATTATTATTATTCACCTTCAGTATTGTCTCTGGCATTTTACAAGGCACAAGATTACGGGCCTTGTACTGGGGTACCTGGGACAATAGGGATGCAGGTGGCACTGTGGTCTAAACCACTGAGCCTCTTGGGCTTGCCTATAGAATGTTGGCCGTTTGAATCGCCATGACAGAGTGAGCTCCCATTGCTCTAACCCAGCTCCTGCCAACCTAGCAATTCGAAAGCACACCAGTGCAAGTAGATAAATAGGTACCGCTGCGGCGGGAAGGTAAACTGTGTTTCCATGCGCTCTGGTTTCCGTCACGGTGTTCCATTGCACCAGAAGCAATTTAGTCATGCTAGCCACATGACCTGGAAAGCTATCTGTGGAAAAACACCGGCTTCCTTGGCCTGAAAACGAGATGAGCACTGCAACCCCTAGTCCCCTTTGACTGGACTTAACCATCCAGGGGTCCTTTGCCTGGGATAGTTCAGTTGGTAGAGCATGATACTGTTAATCTCAGGATTGTGGGTTCGAGCCCCAGATTGGGTGAGGAGGTTGGTATAGATGACCCTTCTGGTCCATTCCAACTCTGCCATTCTGTGATTCTATGATCTTTGGTCTGTGCCCCCAAGTACTTTCTACATTTTGTCCTATTTAAATCAAGCCAAATTCAACAGAATGTAAATATATTTAAAACCATGTGTTATTTCTTAAACTAGGTTGGCACTCTTGAAGAATGGCCATAACCACCCTGAATCTCCACCCTATGCCTTCCAGATTCTTTGATCAAGGGCCTATTTTCAACAAGATGTGTCAAATTCTTGTTCTTGCTGATATATTCCGTGTTTAATGCCATCATTCCCCATTAAGGGTGTAGCCAGCCATGTGCCAAGTGTCAAGGAAGGGTGGAGTCAATCTGCCTGTTCCTCTAGCTGGTCAATTTTGTAAAAACAAAACCATAAGATTTCAATTGAAGGATTTCTGGGCAACTATAAGTAGGCGCTTTAAAATAAAATTAAAGGGAGCAGAAGGATTATGTTCCTCCAGACACAAATTGCAAAGCCAGGCAAAGCGTTGAGGCCATGTTTCCACCTTCTTTCCAGTCACTTGCTCTACAGGAGAACTTGTCTTTGCTTATCTGGCATCCCTAAGTGCTATGGGTGACTAAGAGAGATCACCACTTCAAAGTGGTTAACTACTATGTTGTGACATAACTACTTGGTAACTTGACTATCTTGGTGAGCCAATGAGTCCACAGTATGCTGACATACCCAGGTTGCCAGAAAATAGGTTGCCTGAATGGTTTGGCCTTTGAGCTATCTTCTAAGAATATTTATTGATTTCTTACTCATTTAAACATTTATAACAAACTACCCTATAATTTCTCCTTCATGGATCACTGCCTTGCCGTGGCGAAGGGGCTTGAATAACTCAGAGAAGCTATGAGCTATGCCGTGCAGGGCCACCCAAGATGGACAGGTCATAGCGGAGAGTTTTGACCAAACATGATCCACCTGGAGCAGGAACCGGCAAGCCACTCCAGTATCCCTGCCAAGAAAACTCCATGGACAAAGACAACAGGCATATAAAAGTTATAATGCTGGAAGATGAGCCCCTCAGGTCAGAAGGCATCCAATATGCTACTGAGGAAGAGCAGAGGACAAGTACAAGTAGATTCAGAGCTGATGAAGCAGCTGGGCCAAAGCCAAAAGGTTGCTCAGTTGCAGATATGCCTGGAAGCAAAAGGAAAGTCCAATGCCGTTAAAAAAAAAAAATGCATAGGAACCTGGAATGTAAGAACCATGAACCTTGGTAAGCTGGATGTGGTCAAAAATGAGATGGCAAGAATAAATATTGACATCCTGGGCATCAGTGAACTAAAATGGACAGGAATTGGTGAATTCAGTTTGGCTGACCATCACATCTACTACCGTGCACAAGAATCCCGTAGAATTCTATTTTATGAGAGTGGCCCTCATAGTCAACAAAAGAGTGGCGAGAGCTGTACTGGGATGCAATCTCAAAAATGATAGAATGATCTTGATACGAATCCAAGGCAGACCTTTTAACATCACAGTAATCCAAGTTTATGTACCAACTACTGGTGCTGAAGAAACTGAAATTGACCAATTCTATGAAGACTTACAACACGTTCTAGAAATGATAGCAATGAAGACAGTTCGGAAACTTCAGCTGGTGCAGAATTCAGTGGCCAGGTTGCTCACTGAGGCAAGATGGTTTGAGCATATAACACTTATCCTGGTCTGACTGCACTGGCTACCGGTTAGTTTCTGGGCCCAATTCGAAGTGCTGGTTTTGACATATAAAGCCTTACTCAGCTCAGGACCACAGTACCTCAAGGACTACCTCTCCCCATTCCAGACTCTGCATTCATCATCTGAGACCCTTCTACATGTGCCTCCTCTACGTGAGGTCCAGAAGGTGGCAACACAAGAAAGGGCCTTTTCTGCAGTGGCTTGTGGAATACTCTGCCATGGAGGCTTGCCTGGCGCCTTCATCACATCTCTTTAGGTGCCAGGTGAAAACATTTCTCTATAACCAGAGCTTTGGCAGATTAAACAATCTATGGCCTTTTAAATGCGTTTGTGTGAGTGGAGTTATTTGTTTATCTTTGATTAAATTTTATTACGTATTTTGTGTTCCCATTTTGTATTTTTATGTTGTGAACCTCCCTGTGATCTTCGGGTGAAGGGCATTAAGCTAATAATAATAATAATAATAATAATAATAATAAAGAATCAAGCTGTGGATGTCAGTTGACAGAGGAGAAAAAATCCACCCTGTTGCCCAACAGTTCCCATGCATTTCAATAGGGCTTGCACCATCGCTGCTAAATTGTGCCCTAAATCAAACTATGCATACTCCAGCATTTTTCCCCATATTACATATTGCAAATTTTGAATAAACCAAGAGTGAATTATAACTGGCCTCAGTCCCTTAGGACAGAGCAGCAAGAAATAATAATTTCTCTTAAATAAACCACACGTTATATGGAGTGCCGTGATCCCCCCCCCCAGTGTGTTTTCCTTTTCAACCCAAAATAGCCTGGGCCAAGTTGTGTCTAAGTGGCTGGGCAGCAGGAGGTTGTTTAACCCTTTCCCCTCTGATCGTTTTTCAACTCAAAGTTGCTCTCTCCAAGTTGATTTTTAAAAAGCACACAAAAAAACCTGTAGCAGGAAAGAGATGAGTCCCCCATATTTCTCCCTGGCTCCCCAGGTAAAGGGAAAACATCAGCAAGTGGAGAGAGCAATTTTGAGATGGGAAGAGGGGTGGGGACAGGAGGAGAAGGGGTTAAGCTGCCCAGATATATAGTCTACTGCAGGCTGTTTCGGCTTAAAAAATGAACAGAGGAAAGAATCGCAGAACTCCACTTAAGCGTCAGTATATAGCAAGCAGCAGACTGGGCATTCCTGCCTTTCTTTTCTTTTCCTTTCCAAATTCACCCATATTGTAACAGTTTAGAGAGATTCCAAATGGCTCAATAGCTGTTGAGTGGCAGAATGCCACATTCTACTATTATTATTATTATTATTATAACTCCACCTTTCCCTCCACCTCCTCCCTGAATCTCCCTTGCAAAGCTGTGCTGTGTGCCGTAGCTGGGCTGGCTTCCTCTCTCTCTCTCTCTCTCTCTCTCTCTCTCTCTCCCCTCCCTTGCCGTTTCATGCAGGTTCTGATTACTATGTACGCTGCTGATGTCAAGCCTCCTTGGGTTGACCCAGCACTCCAGAGGAGGAGCGAAGGCGCTGCGAAACGGCAAGATCTCCCCCCCCCCCCACCCCAGACAGCAACAAAAAATTACAGCCATGCGAGCCATCCCCTTGGACTCAGCTGCTTTCAGAGCACATACATACATACTTGTGTGACAGCAACAGTGCATAGAAGCAGCAGCGATAGCAGCAATGAAATGCAGTTAGCAGCAGCCCTACAGCTGGGAGGCAAGAGGCAGGCAGGCACCAGTCTGGTCCCCGTGGTTGGAATTATCTTCCCCTGAGCCTGTCTGCAGTGTCTCTCCAGCTGTGCCTGCTTTTTTAAAATTATTATTGCCGTTGTTATCACGGCTAGGATCCTGCTCGGCGTTTCTTTCCAAATACTCTTGTGGCTTAACTCGGGCGTGCGACTCCCTGGGTGACTGCAGTGTCTTCTCCCCTCCTCCTCCCTCTCTCCTCTTCTGCTGCATCCTTCTCTCCCAGGATGGCGGAGGCTGAATTGCACAGGGAAAGGCTACAAGCTATTGCAGTAAGTCTGCTTCATTTTCCTTGGCTCTTTTGTCTGTGGATGGGGGAAAGAGAGAGAGAGAGAGATTGTGTGATGAGAGAGCAGAAGAAGAAGAAAAGGGTGCTCAGGATTCCAGCACATGCATCGGACGCAAATGGCAAGCTTTAGATATGCAGTGAAGTTGTGCTGAGTTCATCTTTCTTTCATTTGTTTACTCCATTGCTTTGTAGCAAACAGATGCCTTGACTTGTAGAGCATGATAGATCAGGTTCTGATGGATTTGTACTTCCCAGACACCGGCTTTCTTATCATGTATCACGGCATGCTTGAAACACCCGTGGAAGAGCAGAGGAAAAGCAGGAGGGAGAAATACTATTCACTTCCAGCACAAAAATATCAGTGCACTGTGGAAATGGTTGGCAGATGGCTTGGAATCGGAACAGTGGTCACTCAGGGGGGACTGGCTTATTTTATGTTCAAGACAGGTGCAGGGCGTTGTTGTTTTTTCTGGATCAAAGCCTGCAGCGCTTTGGCTCAAACAAAAACTGTACCACTGCTGTAGTCGTGGTCATAATTTTTCAGCAAAGTCAAATATAAATCGTATTAATGGTCAGCTTTCAGTGCAACCATAGGCACGCCTCCCCAGAAGTAAGTCCCACTGAGTTCAGCTCCCTAGTGAGCATGTGTAGGATTGCAGACTAAATAGCTGATCTTCTTGACTGTGAATTGTAACCTCATCTGTTCAGCTTAATAGTTTTCATCAGATGCGTTAGGTCAAGTCAAGACATGCGCTTACGGGAGTTCCGAGGGTTTGTCGCTTTTCGGTAGCAAAGACGCCTTTCACAACAGTCCTCACAACCATTTTTCAACATCCCGAAGGTCCCATAAGTGGGAACCCGACATGCCCACATGAGCTGGAAATGCTCCAGCACATGTAAAGGTTCTGGAAAGCACATGTCCAGCACATGTTCTCCTGGCCAGAGGGAACCACAATATGGTGTGAACCAGGAAGTGATGGGTCACAATCTTAACATGTATTGGAACATTCCCAGGTCCATTTCCCATGATTAAAAAACAATTCTAATAGAAAATGCAGCCTTGTATATCTTCACCACAAAAGCACCACTACATGACTCACTTTTCATTCAGCCTCAAGTGCAAGTTTCTTCACTGACGTTAATGTGAATGGCCCTGTTTGTTTTCTACAAGCGATCATCTCTTGGGGAGGGGAAGAGTAATCAAAGGCGGAGAGTTTGGGCTCCCCTCTTCATTAAGGACCACAGTCCCTTTTTATGTGCCCCAAGAAACATCAGGCAAGAGCGGCAAAGGTCACTGAAAGGAGATGTGAGCCCACAGTGTGGTGAAATAGCCCCTGAAAGCATTGTTTTCTGCTTAGGCATTTAAAGTCTAAGTTGCACTGCATCACAGTGATTCCGATCTATTTCTGCAGAATCCCAGAGAGTGAAATTAATAATCTGACTCTCAGTACAGTATTTTGAAACTGGACTGGCATTTTCATTTATTTTTTAAAATTGTCTTTGTCTTAAAATTATTCCTAGGGGGAAACTTTAACTTGAATCAAAATGATTGCAATACTCCCAGAGAGCCACACTGTTGTGCTTTCTGCTCATCGGCTATCCCTTCCTGACCTTGTCCTTGAGGTAGCCCATGAGCTTCATCCAACTAACAGTAGGGAGGCTTTCCTCTGCACTTTGTGGAGCTGATATGCTAAATGGAGCAAAGCTACAGGCTCAGAAGGGCTTGGCTCCGTACATGCAGACGTCTGTGTGTCTCAGGTCTGAAGTGAGAAGGCAGAAAATGACTCAGGCCCCTTGATTTTCAGGAACTCTGCCAGAGTGTTGCCAATGATCAACAGATGTTGTGTTTTACTTAGAGCTGCCCCCAGATGGATTCTATATTTCCTTTGTAGGCATAGGAATGGCTTCTGCTCTCGTTACTCTGAGAAGCTGTTTTTCTTAGGTCAGTTAATCCACTAATGCATGCCTTTTAAATTTAAAAATCTGCAGGTCTACTATGCATTAAATCCTTTGAAATTCTTCCCGGAAAACATCAAAAAGGTTCCACTGGTTGGGGAACAACAACAAAAAATGTCTGGTGATTTAAAGTGTTTAATATTTTAGCTTTTAAGAAGTAGGCAAGTGTGTGTGCTTTTTCCTTCTAAAACTCGATGCCAAGTCTCCAAGCCTTATGCATAGGGAACTCACTGTGCTTTGAATTAACTTGTTCAATGTACTTTAATAAGGCACTAACAGGTCGGTCTTAAGGTTTGCTGTGAACAGATAAGCAAAGACCGAGGGCTCCTCCAGACAATCTGTTTATTGAGCGTTCATCCTGATTTGCTTGTGCAAAGCTTATGCTTAGAGTCTATCTGGTCTTTATTGTGCATTTGTTCTGATTTGTTTGTACAACGAGCATTCGTACATTTCCCTGCAAGGTGTTTACACATCTTCCTGCTAACCTTTAATTCATTCCACCCTTTTGAGTGCACTTCCCCATCGCCCTTAACAGCAAAAACTGTGCTTCTTTTTAAAAATTCATTTGATTTGCTAGAGCGGCAAAGCACTGTAGTCCATTTAATTGCACAAACCCAAATTTCTCAGTACACATTTGAATCCCTCCCACAAAATACTGATAGGCTGGAGATGCCTCAGATGTCACAAGACAGAACACTACTGGTTGGTGGTGGTTGTGGGTGGTTATTAGTGGGAATCAGTAGATGGGAAGCCGTCCTTTTGACTCTCCCTCCCCCCGGCACAATTCAAATCACGTTGCTCACGCTGAACTTATCTTGAAATGAATGGGATCCGAGGCCTAGTTCTGCCTGTAGTCCAGTTCAAATAGCTGTGAGCAGTGTCTTCTTAGAGAGGTGGGTAAGCAGTCATGTGACTGCCTCTTCTCTCATACACATAATATGGTCCTTTCCCCATTCACAAATTGGTGGGTGCTAAAGTTCAAGGGAAGGATCAACCATTCATGTATGTCACTTTTCCATAAGACAGTATCCGAGACAGGTCACATCAAGGGAACTGCATTAAGCATTCAAAATCATAGTACGAACAATTACACATAAATATGATATCAGTAAGGAAATACAAAAATATCAGCCACCCAACCAAACAATCCATTCAACTAGGTATTAAACCTTACAAATAAACTAACTTATTCCAAGCTTAAGGCATACAGGACAGAGCATAAAACCAGATATGAAAATGCCCTAGACAGAAGGCCAAGTAGCTCCACAAAAGCAGCATAAAACCATCCACGGTTAACCTACAAGTATTTGTTGGGAATCACCTCTTTCACTTGCTGCATCCTTCCCTGCAGTTCTCACCTGGGTCTGCTCTCTCAGTCCCTTCCTCATTTCTCACCTACAGAGATACTGTTCCTCTTCCATGCCCCATATTCACTCACATTTTCAACGTCTGACTTTCAATGTCTCTCATGCACCCTTTCCAAAACTGTCTTCCAGGCAACAGGCTTCATGAAGCTTCAGGGCGGTGGGGAAGGGCAAGTCAGAAGCATAAGATCCTGCATAAGGTGGAGCTGTCCCTCATAGTCTCAAATCATCCAAGGCCTGATTGGGTTGGCATTCTTTGACAAAGGCCATTGATGATCCGTATTGAATTTATCTACTCTTCATTTCTATGCCTATTTATGCTGGCCCACAGTATGCAATTCGATTCTAATACAGTACAGTAGCTATGCACTTTCTTTCTAGCTTCCCCAGAAGCTCAGTAGTAGAGGATCTTGCCCAGGGTTAATTCTTAGTGTCTCCAGGTAGAGCTGGAAAAATCTCCAGCCTGAAACCCTAGAGCAGCCTTTCTCAACCTGTGGGTCCCAGATGTTGTTGAACTACAACTCCCATCACCCCTAGCTAGCAAGGCCAGAGCTCAGGGATGATGGGAGTTGTAGTCCAACAACATCTGGGGACCCAAAGGTTGAGAATCGCTGCCCTAGAGAGTCAGTGTGGACAATACTGAGTTAGTGGGACCAGTGGCCTGACACAATATGAGGCAATTTCTGAAGTTCCTAACAAGATTAGGAAAACCTCTATGGATTTTGCTGATGCCTTGTCAGTTCAGTCACTGTGCATACTGGTGCATATAATGTCCTTTCAAAGCAAGGGGGGCAAAACAAGGGGGGGTTAGCCTGAACTCACCGGAATGCAGTTCTGGCACCTCTCAGGTGGGATCCAGCACTTCTCAGGTGGGCACCATTGTCATTCTAAGAGAATGAGGGAGGCATTCATGGTGAGTTCCGGCAGCTCTTTGTCCTGGACCTCACTGTCTGGGCTGAACAATGGAGGTGGAGACGCTCCAGTATACCCGAAGGAGCATCTCCACACTGAGGTCCAGCTCCAAGGGCCTTCTGGCAGTTCCCTCACTGTGAGAAGTGAGGTTACAGGGAACCAGCAGAAGACCTTCTCGGTAGTGGTACCCGCCCTGTGGAACGCCCTCCCATCAGATGTCAAGGAAATAAACAACTACCTGACTTTTAGAAGACATCTGAAGGCAGCCCTGTTTAGGGAAGTTTTTAATGTTTGATGCTTTATCCTGTTTTTAATATTCTGTTGGGAGCCACCCAGAGTGGCTGGGACAACCCAGCCAGATGGGCGGGGTTTAAAATTATTATTATTATTATTATTATTATTATTATTATTATTATTATTATTAAAAAATAAGGTAAAACAAAAACACAACCACGAATGATGCAGTCTTATAGCCACTTATCTGGGTGTTAGCCCCATGAACCACATTTCCTAGTCTACTCAAAAACTTATATAGGCTTGTACTGAAAACTTTACTGCCATCTTTGAAGCAGTAACTGCAATGGGTGGCGGGGATGGTGACATTCCCCTAGTTTTCAGGACACTGACAATGTATTCTCCAAATCTATTTCATCAAAACTTAGGAAAGGGGGA